CACACAAACACACACACACACACTCACACACGCACGCACACACATGCTGATGTGGGAGGTCTGCCCCGTGTGTCCGAAAATCAAAGTGTACGTCAGCTATGGGGTGTTTGAAAACCCAAGCCATCCTCTAGCTAAAAATGAGTCAGCCGCACAACATCACCTTCATCCACGTTATAAAACCTTGTAGAGTTAATAACATTATCAATAGGTGGCACCAGAGTGCCACAGAGACAAGGACACACCACACCTCTCCCTGCTGTCTTCCTGCTCTATCTTTCCTTCTGTCCCCTTCTCCACCCTTTGTGCTGTGACACACTCATTCACAAAGCACCTGAATGAGCCGGTACCAAAACAGGGTCGATAGTTAACCTGAAACAGCCTGTAGTTAACAGTCTAAGACTGATCAATGCTTCGTTCTGAGGCAGATACATTTAACACAGAGACATTATACCTAATAATGACACAAATGGTTTGTGCTGACAACATAAACTGATAACATTGTTATATGCAGGCACCCTTACGGGCATCTTATTACAAAAGACAACATGTGGGTATGTAGTTGGATTAGGATGGTTGATTTAGGTAGTTTTAAATACCCTGTGAAACAAGTACACTTTAGCATACTTCAAAAAAAAAAAGTGCTTATTACGGAAATAAAATAATATGCTTATAATATATAATAATATGTTTGCAGACACTTAATTGCATGCTAATTGCAATTAAATAAAAATGTATTATTATAGTTTATGTTATATGTAAATATTTTCAAAATATATGATGAATGTGTGCATCTTTATACATACATAATAAATATACACAGTACACACACATATATTATGTAAACATAAACTTTTATTTTGGATGCGATTAATCGCGATTAATCGTTTGACAGCACTAATTTAAATATATTTGTAATTATAGATTTGTAATGATAAAGTTGCAATTTAGTGCATTTAAAATATTTTAACTTTAAATGTAATAGCAAATAACTATATATTTAAGTAAAATAATTAAGTGCTTAAGTATGCTAGTCAACACATCCAAATAAATGTCTCTTAAAAGCATGACAAAAGAATATTAATTAGACACTTAATTGCATGCTAATTGCAATTAAATGAAAATGTATTATTATAGTTTATGTTTATATTAAATTCAGTTAGCTAAACTGTAGACATTTGACACACTTACCGTAAGTAGGACTTAAGAACATCTTTATATGTAATTGCAAAATTCCATTGTCTTTGAAGTAGGGTTAAAGTGTGCATTTATGGTACACTAAAAATATACTACTGAAGCTTGTATTACATGTATTTAAATTAGTGATGTTATACGATTAATCGTGATTAATCGCATCCAAAACTTTTATTTTGGATGCGATTAATCGCGATTAATCGTTTGACAGCACTAATTTAAATATATTTGTAATTATAGATTTGTAATGATAAAGTTGCAATTTAGTGCATTTAAAATATTTTAACTTTAAATGTAATAGCAAATAACTATATATTTAAGTAAAATAATTAAGTGCTTAAGTATGCTAGTCAACACATCCAAATAAGTGTCTCTTAAAAGCATGACAAAATAATATTAATGATTTAAAATGTACTTTAAAGTAAAACTCTTAATTTGAGATTATTACAAAGTGCACTCAAAAGTACTTAAGAAAGTCGTGAAACTGTACTCTTTTTAAGTACACTTAAGTGAACTTTTAATTAATATTATCTACAAGAACAGAAGTAGTCTTTTTTTGAAAATATATTTTTTAAGATTTGAAGAACACTACATCTCAGACAAACCAACCAAACAAACAAACAAAAAACAGACTTTTACAGTCCTCTCAAGCCAAAGTAGTAGATTTGCATGATTTTGATTTGGATGATTCAACATGCAGCTGTCATTAGTCAGGGCATTACATTCATATTGCAAATCGCTCCCAGGCAAAAGAAAATGCAAGTGATAGCTAACATAATGTACCATGGATACTTCCTTGTGTCAGGTACACAGAGTTCAAGTTTATGGACCGTAACAGTGTTCTATTTTAACACCTGTGTCTTGGAAATAACAGCTGTCACTTTAAGAATGCAGAGAGTGAAAGGAATCTACAAAGTACGGATGTATTTACATTTATGTGCTGTCAGAGTCAAATCAAAGTCAGATTATTCTCTCTCTCTCCTGTATGTCTCATACCAATCACATTGTCTTTTAGAGCCACAACGCAAAAGATAACAACTAAAGACAAACTGCAGTCACATTTACTGATGTTCAACAGATGTTCATGGCCAAAAAGCAGTCATTTCAAAGAAGAATCTACACAATCTGGAATTTCGTGCGAGGTTAAAGAATTTTGCAACGGTTCAAGTTAGTCACGCAAATTCTCTGCATCAACCAACAAAAAGCTGCTTGGTCACCACTTTGCCACTGCAAATCGCCACTTTACTGCACACAAAATTTCTCACCTATAAACTCTGGACCTAATTTATCAAAAAAAACAAAAAAGAAATGTATTCACCTTCAAGTTATTCCAAACTTGTGCCAATGAGATTTGGGAGGTACTTTTTTTTTTTCCTCAAACAAAGCTATTATACAACTTCAGAAGATGTATAAACTACTTTTATGATGGAAGATAAAAACATAAAAACTTTTCACTGTCTGCTTTTGTTTGAGTGTAAAAGAGCAGCTTCGACATTCTGAAAAACATCTCCTTTTGTGTTCCACAGAAGAAAGAGTAAATGATGGCAGTTTTGGATGAACTATACCTATAATCACAAACATTTACAAAGCTTAGTTGCGGTAAAACCGTTTGACACTGAGGTGGAAACGTTTCCATGAACGTGTACCTGAGGGAGCCTGACCTGCTCAGATCCGGCCCACTGACATCACTCTTGGCTGGGAAAGGAATGTGAAGGTCACTCCACTCCACTGCACAAGAGCTTAAAACAAGAGCTGACTGAGGAAGTGTGGTGTGTGTAACCTCAGCAGATGGAGATAACCTTGAGACAGCTTCAACAGATACACCATATCAACAACATGATAGAAACACCATAGTCAGTCACCGAGCATACATTACTTGACACTACAACCTTTAGCTGTTCCTTAACTAGTCCACAACAGCTTCAACATGAGGAAATCATGTTTTAGATTTAAAGCTTAAGAGGAATTTTTTATGCTCAAACAGCAACATTACAGACTAACTAAAGTTGAAAAAGTGAAAAAGCATAATATGACCCCTTTAAGTTTAGAGGAAGAACAATGATTTTAAGGATAACTTTTGTTCAAATGTCAATAATGTAACAGGACTAAGTTAAAAGCTGGTTTGAAAATGTACACAAAACAGTTTATCTTTGATAAACAAGTCATATTCACGAAAAATTTCAAATCTGACATAATTTAGGACACGCTCGCTAACGCAACTAGCATGACGTTGTATTCACAAGAAAACCTGAGCTCAAGCATGACGTGTGATTGCAAAGCGGAAAAAAATGTTCTTCATGGAGAAGATTCTCGTGTGTAAATTGCTGTACAGAGTTCAAGTCTTGCTGTGTAGTCACTCGACTTCCTCCAGCTGTTCTCTGCTATGACAATTGACTTTGACTCTCTGATGTTCTGCGGGAAAAAACAGGCCGGCTAAAAACGGCACAGAGGATGGAAGTCAGGAGCGAGTGGGGCGTTGAAAGGAAAACCTCTTGAGACATCTTTTTCTCTTCGTTTTTGCTTACCTTCTGCATGGTGAGAAGGAAATGGAACAGGGTTTGTAAACAGAAGCGTCTGTTATGGAATGGAATCTTAAGGTGTACTCTATAATGATTCTACTTCCGATTGTGCTTCCTTAATTTCATTAACAATTCTCAATACTTCTGAGGAAGCTAATAGTACTATAAAATATGAGAACATAAAAACATTTTAAATCATGTTTTAATAATCTTTTGTCATACTTTAAAAAAGTACACTTATTTTTATGTTTTGACACATACTAAAGCACATGTAAAGTACTTGATTAAAATTTAACTAGTGAGTTATTTGATATTACATTTAAAGTTAATATCTTTTAAATGTACAAATTTACAACTTATTTACACACATATATAAATACATGACATACAGGTTTCAATATAAATTACATTAAAGTATGTTTTATTCTACATATATTTCAAAGATAACAGAAGTGATTATGAAATTACATATCATATATTAATAAGATGTACTTAAGTACTTAAATTGGGTAAGTTCAGCTAATTGCATTTAATATATACATTTTCAATCAGTTGCAATTCAGTGTACAAAACACTGCATTTAGTTCCCAGTATATTCTCATTTTAAGTATGCTCAAGTGTACCTCTTTTTTACAAGGGTATATATTGTCATATGAAAAACTGGTCAGTGTTTAGACTGATTTAACTCTATGAACTTCAAGCACTGCACAGTCTTGGTTTATTTTGAGTCACACATGATGAAAGTAATGTTAATTCAGTAACCGCATGGACTGATTCGGTGAGTCAGTGAGCAGATTAGTTTGTCTGTGATTCATTTCGACCAGTTCATTAAAAGATCCAGCTCATAAGATTTATGTATTTGCGAATCAACCAACACGGATAACATAACAGAAATATGTCTATTCATTTCTTTATACAGTCTTTCTGGCTTATAACTCGTAATTCCAACACAAACGCACAACTCAGTCATGATTTCATTTGCGCTAGTGCTGTAGATTCACCAGTGCAAGACAAACCTGTCAAACTATTTTAGTACAGTGTTACATATGGTGTTCAAGAACTGCTAATAGAACCAAATGTCTTGGACATCACTCAGTTCCATTTTTTTCGGAATCTTCAGAATCAGTTCTCAGTTTCCTACTGACAACGTTCTGAAAATCTCGCATCTGTCAAACATGTTGTCTTGACGCATTCATTTTCTACAGTTTTCCAACATGCCAATATTCTTCTTCTCCCACGCGCTCCCGTGGGCCCATCTGACCTTGTCGAGGTTCCAGAAGATATCAGAATGCTTTTGAAGGGCTCGAAGTCAGTCTGAGGAGTCCGGAGGGAGACGACGTTCTTTGAACGATCAAGCCCATCTAAGACAAGGATCTCAAGGGTCAGGCTGAAGGGGGCAGAGAGGATGAATCATGTCCAGGGGTGTCTCAGCCACCACACGCATTGTTCCCAAGAGGCCCGGCATCTGTATCCCGCAGGATTTTTATGGTGTTGATTTAAACACAGCCTTCCAGCATCTGCGTCTCTCTTTTGGTCCCCCCTTCCCCCTTTTTCTGATGGGTCTCCGTGGTGACTGTCTCCACTAATACACACACGGGACGGTTAGTACGAGGGGTCGGGTGTGAAATGGTGCCGGATTGATGACTCATATCAAATCGCAGATAAAACACAGCTCACAAATCTCGACTGAGGTGCAGTGACAGCATCTGCAAAGATGACTTTGATTAAAGAGACCAATCCCATTGGCTCACTATTACTAGAAGCGTAATAAACCAACTACAAAGACTGAAAGGGCAGTGGAGAGGGCAGACAATGAGAGATTGATGGAAAGCTGGGACAGCAAACTCCTCCGAGCCCCTCTAGTTACCAAGCATTTCCTTTACCAATGTCTGGAATGCTGGCGTCCACCGCAGGAAGTAGGTTCTTTGTTTCCTATCCCCTTCCTGCTGGCCTGCGACTGCTCAGAGGAAAGAGGAAGGCAGACGTGAACTGTTTGTGTGGAGACAGGAAGCAGATTCTGAGAAGCACAGAAGGTCTTTGGCAGCCACTACACCTCATACAAGGTGAAATAAAGAGGACGGGATGTGAACAAGATGTAATTAGTCTCTTTAGTATACACTGAGGGGTCAAGGTTTGGCTGGTTAGCATGGTCCAGTTAACCCCTGCTGGAAGCTGCTGTTACTACACTATTCTAAGGACAAATCTTTTGCTGAACATACACTACTGTTCAATATTTTTTATTATTCAGCAGTTATGCATTAAGTTGATCAAAAGTGAAAATCAAGTATTTTACATTACTACAAAAAAGTTTCTATTGCTGCTCTTTTGAACTTTCTATTTATCGATGACGAAAGGATTTCAAAAATATGAAGCAGCACAACTGTTTTCAACAATGATAATAATAAGAAATGTTTTCTGAGAAGCAAATCAGCATATTAGAATGATTTCTGAAGAATCATGTGACATTAAAGACCGGAGTAATGATGCTGAAAGCATCACAGGAATAAATCACATTTTAAAATATATTCAAATAGAAAGCAGCTATTTTAAATTGCAATATTTCAAAATATTTTATGCAGCCTTGGTGAAAATAAGAGACTTCAAAACATTAGAACCTGAAGAACACTAAACTTTTGAATAGTAGTGTACATCTCAGATATTTAATTATATTAAAGTGGATCTTCTACCAGTTTTTAAAGGCCTCTTACATTGTGAAATTATTATTTTTTTCTTTTTGTCTGATGCCATTACCATCACAGTTCAGCACAATCTGTGCTTTCTCCAGGTATTATATCTACGGTACTCACACACACACACTCACACTCACACTCTCACACACTCACACTCTCACACACACACACTATATCTACGGTACTCACACACACACACTCACACTCACACTCTCACACACTCACACTCTCACACACACACACTCACACACACACACTCACACTCTCACACACACTCACACACACTCACACTCACACAGTCAATGTAGAAACAAATAGTAGTTTGTGTAGATTTACTTTTGCCTAGACAATTAAAATTATTTATAAGGCTTATGTAAGAAATAAACCTACACACAGCATGTTTATTAATCTTGCCTTAATTACAATTGGATGTTTTGCAGCTATTAACCTCCCATCAAGAATGATTCAACATTGCAATCCGAAACACTTTACAACACAATTTGATGAGCCAAGCAAGTAGCAATACATTTAAAGGAAACAAAATCTATTGACAGCATCTTGTGGTAAAATGTCAATTACCACAGACAATTATATTGACTCAACTTTCAGTGTGTAAAAACAAACAAATTATTGCAATAATACATTTAAAATGGATGTCTGGAGGGTTGAAAAGCAGTACTTGCATGAATGAGTGATTTTCAGCTGTATCATCTAAACTATCCTTTTATCAACCACTGTTTTCTGCTAATGGTTTTTCTCTTTGTAAAAACATCACTTTGCAGATAGTTGTCACATCATTTTCTGGTATCTTTGTGCATATTGCAGAACTTACTAGGTTTGCTGGTCACGATAGTAGTTAAAAAAACAACAACTATTAAGTCTGTCCTTTTTTCTTCTTTTACAAAATGAACAAAACTGAACAAATGTTTTACTTAAAAATCCACTCCAGCTGTTCTTGCCAGCTAAAGCTTTTGACACAGAAGCCCACTTTCTGCTGTGTACGTACAGTATAATTAGGTTATCACACCAACGGCCTGCCCAGCGCTGAGCTATAGTTGAGGTTATGTTAACACCGTCAGCCCCAGCTTACATTCCAGGCTACAGCAGGAAATACAGGTGTAGACTGTAAGGGTTATGAGCTCCGGAAAGTGTGCAGTGCTGGAACTAGCTCTTCAGGACAGACAGGCTTCAGTGGGAGCAGATGCTGATGGGAAGAATGGAGAAACAAAAAGGGAGGGACAATTATAAGGAGAGGAGTTATAAATGACAGGGAAAGTATAATCTTGTATTTTGTAAATAGAATAACCAATTTAAAAAAAAAAAAATGTTTTTTAGTGAATTTTAGGTAAATATTCTGGAAGATAAAGACAAATACACTTTATCCATGTTGGTTGTGTACATTTCATTTGAAATTGTATAATGTATCTGCATTATCAGCCACCCAGCTTTCTAAGTATTGCTTTTGGCCAATCCCATATTCATCCATTAATCCTGAATGACCTGTTTTTGCAGCTTAGTTTTCATTAATGTACTCAGTGGACTGACGAGAAGCTTTGCTTTGTGGAAAAACTACATAAGTTACTACATCAAACTTTTTTTCTTCGAATGAGCAGCTCACAGCTTTTCTTCTTTATCTCATCTTCTAGTATTTGCTCTCAGCTTGAGACCAGCACACACCTCTTTGAAGACTAAAACAGTCCTTCATCAGCTAATCAGTCTTAATTACACACACACTTAAGCCCTTTGTGTGGCTCTCACTAGCAATGTGTGCTGGTCACTCATGTGGAACGGGGTCCAGGAGGGGTCCGCATACATTCAACTGCTCTTTGCATGTGGGTACATTATAGTATCTGTACTGATTAAGACTCTGACAGCTGCCTGTCCTGATGCTAATGACATGAGTTAATCATGTTACTAATCTCACCATTAAACAGAAAGACTTGATGAACTCTGAGGCCTCATGCATGAAGACCTCACACAAGGCCTTAAAAAAAAGACATGAAATGACAATCATCAGACCATGAGCATTACGCTTCAATGTAACTGTATAACATTATTTGTCTCTACCCAAATAGCCCTTCAAAATCAGATATGTTATAGTCCTACTTCATATCAATTGTTTCTGACTATACACTCTTAAAAATAGATGTTCTTCGTTGGCATCTGTTCTTTCTAAAAAGAAACAAAATGGCAATTCTAGCATTTGGTTTGCATGTGTATAGTCTTCTGTTATTAAACTTGTCATAATTCACTGACCCGCATGTTGTTCCAAACCTGAATGGTTTTCAGTCTTCCGTGGAACATAAAGGAAGATTTTTAAGAATAATTGAGTTGTTTGGTCCACAGAAGAAATGTTCTGCAGAAGAAAGAATGTCATACCGGTTTGGAATGACATGAGTAAATGACGACATCATTTTCATTTTTGAGTGAACTATCTCTTTAAAAATGCATTTATAGTGTTCACAATGAAGTTGGGCTTGAAAATGTCTGCTCTAGTTTCCAAAATGGAAGTGCTACTGTATTCTGTTGGCAATTTTTCTAAATAGTAAGTAAAAAATTCCTTTCTGCTTTCCATTGTTACTTAAAAAATGGTAGTCTTCTGTTATTAAACTTGTCATAATTCACTGACCCGCATGTTGTTCCAAACCTGAATGGTTTTCAGTCTTCCGTGGAACATAAAGGAAGATTTTTAAGAATAATTGAGTTGTTTGGTCCACAGAAGAAATGTTCTGCAGAAGAAAGAATGTCATACCGGTTTGGAATGACGTGAGTAAATGACGGCATCATTTTCATTTTTGAGTGAACTATCTCTTTAAAAATGCATTTATAGTGTTCACAATGAAGTTGGGCTTAAAAATGTCTGCTCTAGTTTCCAAAATGGAAGTGCTACTGTATTCTGTTGGCAGTTTTTCTAAATAGTAAGTTAAAAATTCCTTTCTGCTTTCCATTGTTACTTAAAAAATGGTGTAGTATTTAAACAATTTTCATTCAGACAATTTCAAAAAAAAATAAAAATAAAAAAAATGGTATCGCTCTGAATTAAATGGCATATTTTAAAATAGAAACACTGATTTGTTTTTGTTTTTTTTGGGAAAACTCCAATAATCTTTGTTTTATTACAACTTTGAAAGAGAATGTCAGCAAAACTGAAACATTATTTCAGATACACAGAAAGTTATTTTGACAAAAGTAAAAAAATAGATGAGAATTTTTTCTTTACACATGTATTTCCTTTTCCCCCATATTTGCGTGATAGTAAAAAAAAAAATTGGCTACATTATTATTTTTAACTTTCTCTTATAAAGTAGATGAAAATTTTTTTTTTAAATTAAAAAAAAAATAAATTAAAAAAAAAAAAAAAAAAAAAAAATAGAAATATAATTTTATTTTTAAAAAGCATGCATGAATTGTGTGCAATAATGGGCCAATCAAACAATAAATGTTTATGTTTAAAAAAAAAAGTAAGATGCCTGGCAGTGAAAGAAAAAAAAAAACACATCTGCAAACATGTTTTTCAAAGGTTAAACTTTTTTTTTTTTTACTAAAGAGCTGAAAAAGACACAAAACACAAGTGCAACGGTTAAAGAGATCGGTCTACTGCATATTTACATACAGTACAATAATTATGGAAAAACGTCATAATGAACTGAAAAAAAAAAACTGTGCTCTGTGTATGTAAACAGTCCCTAATACCAGAAATATGTATTAACACTGTAAATAGAATTCGATATAATTGGCTGAATAGCTAAAATTGGCTCCACTTCCACTTGACCTGAAAACACACCCACTGACTGTTTAAACAACATACCGGCGGTCACTTTTGACCTCAAAACAGCACACCTCTCCGGCTTTGATATCTGAGTAGTGTATCAACTTACACAAAGCAAAGGGTCCATGATAAAGCAAAAGGACAAACTATAAGACATTAAAAATACTCCTGTATGACAACATGTGAGTTTAAATCAAACAGATATGACGAAACCTACAAACTGACATCATCTGATGATTGACGAATGCACACACCTGCACGCTTTAACCAAACACTGCAAACAAAGTATGATTTTACCCTCAATGAACCAACCATTCTGTATTTGCTTGTATAAACCTAAGACGAAATGCGCAATGCCATCAAATTAGAGCTCTATGTGTACTTAAAACAACTTTAACAAAGATTTCCTTCCGTCTAAAGTGCGTTTGTATGTGTTTCCAGCTCCTAAAGACAGGTCTAGCCTGTTATCACCAGTCACGTTTTGTCTGAACTCCCTGCAGTCATGTGAACGCTGCTAATTCTGTTCTGTTGAAACTGCAGGCAAATCCTCTTCATTCATGCTCTGATTCCTGTCAACACACGTACACACACCTCCCGCTGTGTCGAGGCATTTCCTTACCGCCTCACTTCATCTAGTTTAGGTAGCCAAAATTACTGCAGCTTGTGTTTGGTTAAACTATTAGCCTGTCTGAGAACAGGCAGGTGGTGCTGGGAAATTGCAAAACATATATATATATATATTTTTTTTTTACATAATAGGCTCAGATGGTTTTGAAAAACTGTTCTCAAGCACACCTAGCACACAAACCAGAACCGTTCCAAGTCCTGGAATCGCAAAAGTGGGATACTAGTAGTGGTCGACCGATATTGATTTTTTGACAGCCGATGCCAATTCGACTAAGTTTGCAAGGTTTGTGAAATTAAATGTTCATTAGTTATTCAAAGATTTGTTTAAATGATATAAATGCGTATTTGCTGAATGCTACTAATTTATTACTAATAATATAAAAGCAGTCATTATAATACTTTTATTTAATTTAATTTTAATTCCTTTGTTTAACAGTTCTATCTGATTATTAGACAGATTTCTGTCCGTATTAGACAGAACTGTTAACGACGACAGCGAACAAGGAGAATGTGAACACTGTGTGTGCAGGCGCTGCCGTTCTCAGCGCCGTCAAAATAAAAGTCCCGCCTCGAACACATCGGCCAAACTGAAAAACTTATCGGTCGATGCCGATATTTGAAAAATGCCAAATATCGGCCGATATATCGGCCTTGGCGATATATTGGTCGACCACTAGATACTAGTAATGGGTGTTTCTTCGAATACAAGCACTTTTAGGTCCCAAGGGTTGATTTTTATTACTGTACAAGGATTTCAAATGTTTCAAATCTTTTTGTTCCATTAAAACTTTCTTGGAATGTTTTTCATCATACCTTAATGATTTATTTTGTTTTATAGTGTCAGATTTTATTGTTTTACTCTTATCTTAGACTTTTGATCGTAAACTACTGTATAAAAATCTGTAAAACCTGAATTATTACATTAATCATGCTTAATACTATGATGCTTTTATGAACAGAGCATGAAATAAACTACATCAAAATTTATTGTGTGAGAATTATTTGCGAGATGTGGTGTCTTTTCCACTAGAACCAATAGTTTTACCCCTAATAAGGGTAAATAAAGTTTTTTTTGTTTGTTTTTTTTCAGTTATTGTGTTTATAAAAACAATTGACATACAATATAAGATGTGAATAAATCATGGAAATATCAGGGTAAATAGTGAAAATATTATTAAATCGTGTGTGATTAGGATACAAAAACGATACCAGTGTTGTTATTGTTTGAATAAAAAAATTAAATCAAATATAAACTATGATTTTTAAAACATAAATATTAGAAAACTTAAAGGAAAATTAGAAACCGCCTGAAATAAATAAGTTTACAATGAGATACTAAAATTACTTTTAACAAATAAATTGCATAAACAAAGAAAGAAATTCAAATGAAATTTAAATTAAAAACATATTACAATAGTATATAAATAATACTAAAATAACAGCACAATAGATAACTAAAATGCTAGAAATGACATTACAATTCGCCTGTGACACTTTTAGACAATGCAAGTGTGTTAAATTTGTTTTCGAGAGAGTTTATTTTCTAAAAGTGCTTAAAGATATTTTGTTCTGTAAACAGCTTCAGGACATCACGAGCAGGTGTTGCGTGTGCTACGGCTCTCAGAACAATCTGTGACCCCCAGACTCCCTAAAGCTCCTGATCCACGGCGATTTACAGCAGAAAACAGAAATCAAACAGCCACACTATGAGCCCATTTTACTTGCTTTCCACTTCGTACAAGATTATCCCAACCTGGGATTTTGAGTTGTGACACATGGTGTTTCTTAAGGAGCAACAGTGTGGAGAAATGTAAACGTAAGAGGATTTTCAGTAAATGCTTTAACCCAGATGCGCAATGTCAATTTGTTCATTTTGATACCAGCTGACCTTAAATGACCTTGAGATGCTGATACACAGCACAATGCCTTGAAAGCCCAGCTTTGTTTACTGCCACAATCTCCCACCTTCAAAAATATACTGTGGTATTTAAAAAAAAAAAGTATATATGGTTTCATTATCCTTGACAGGTAAGAAAATTGCATCTGTCACACCATTTCACGGTTTCTTAAAATGTCTTCAGCAAATGTTCACTGCATGACTACCTCCAAAAAAAGGCCAGGACATGAGATGCACCATCTTCCTTTCAGTGCCTTTTAATATCTGCTAATCCCTCTGTATTTTCTGCAGGGTTGAAAGGGAGAGTCCATGTAATTTCAAAGAGGAAATCAGTGATCGAGAGACGGGGTAAACTGAGCCCTCGCAGTCTCAACAATAGACAGCATGAGTCAACAAACCCGTACTTCATACAGAGGACGACTGGACATTGCGTGGGCTTCGGTCTGACTCTCTCTTTTCTCTTTCTGTGCACTGTGAGAAATCTGTTCATGTGGCATACTGTTGCCACACTTTCTTTAAATGCCAGAAAGCACACATACTTGTGTGTTTGCATGTCAATTTCAAGTGGAATAGTGTAAACATTTGTTCTGATGTCTGTGATGTAAAATGCAAAGAAATAATAAAGCCGGGAAGGAGTGATGGATGTGGCTTACATTATTGTGCACTAGCTCCTCCTGAATGCTAATTTGGGGCTTTATTAACTTGCTCAGGGATTCTCTAAAGAGAGATAACGAGTCTGTCATTCTGTCCAACATATGAACTTGCCTCAAGTGTTTTTAAACCTAATGCTTGATTTGTGAGGTGCCTAAAGATTCCCTTTTACGACTGTTTTTTAAGTCCACGTTTAGAAAATTAAAAGATGTGTAAATGTCAAAAAATTAAATAGATAACTAACAATACATCTCAACAGAATAATATAGACAATATATAGAATATAATGACAATAGTAGAATTATGAAATTACCTATAAAGATGTACTTAAGTTCTACTGAAGTGGGTCAATGAAGCACTTAGATGCTATTAATTGTCCAAAAACGTATATTTTAACTTATAAAACTTTATATACAGTATATATATATTTTTTTTTTACTATTTTTAAATGTATGTTAAAATGTACTTATATTCCACAAGGGATGACAAGTGTCTTTCTTTTTTTAAGTCACTTTGGATTAAAACATCTACTAAATTAATAAATAGAAATGTAATTGTTAAGTTAAGTTAAAACATCTTAGTTTGACCCGATCAGAAAGCTGACTCAAAATCATGTGCTGGAGCAAATTTGGTTTAAATGTGTGTATAAAAGACTCAATTAGTACTCAAGTAATTAAGTAATTAAGATCTGTTCAAGCACTTAAAACTGGTTTGTGAAAAAGGTTCGAGGCTTAAAATGACTGGAGACTGTTTGAGTTTGTGTGTGTGTGGTCCTGGTAAACCCTACGTTATGGGGACAAAAATTTGTGTGTCAAAATTTGTGTCATTTAATGTCCCCACAAAGATGGCAATATCCCAAATCCTTGTCCTTGTGGAAACACTTTTTGGTCCCAATTAGGAAACAAGCTTATAAATCATACAGAATGTATTTTCTTGAAAATCTAAAAATGCAGAAAGTTTTCTGTAAGGGGCAGGTTTAGGTGTAGGATTGGTGTAGGACTATAGATTACACAGTTTGTACAGTATAAAAACCATTACGCCTATGAAATGTCCCCATAAAACATGGAAACCCAACATGCGTGTGTGTGTGTGTGTGTGTATTTGGCTGTAGAAAACAAATATTAAGTTTCACAGGTGTGGACAGCCTTAAAGATATTCGTTAGATCTGTCTCTGCTTTCAAAGAGTAAATATTACCCTAAAACACAAGAGAGAGAGAGATGAATGCAGAAAACACACATCCCTACCATAATAAAGCCCTCTAACAAAACTTACACACAAATGTATTACACAAATACACAGGGAGTACTGAACCTTCTCATGATCACACAAACATGACACACTCTGCCTTACACCTCACACCCACACAAACACAGCCACTACAAGTGACAAGTACACAAACACACACCCTCGACCAAACACAGCACCAGCCCTCAAACACACATCAAACCAGATCCAGGAAAAACAGATTCTTGTCCAAGTACACACACACACACACACACACACCATGACTCAAACACATCCCAGGGATTCTGTTTCTGGACACACAAAGACAAACATACAAAAGTGAATCTCACAAAACCAGCCTGTGCTTGTCATATTTCACCCCCCAAAAAAAGTCTAAATTAAATTTATTTTAGATTTGTAGTGAAATAGGAACCAGACATTCTGTGATATTCATCCGTAAAACCAGCTGGCACTGTATCTAGACAGATACTGGCAGTCTTTGACTTTCACCAGTGAGACAATGAGTGGCATGTAGGAACATATTTTGGAGCCTATTCTTGTTGAAAGAATCTCCATAAACCGCAAGTGGGACTTTCAGCATTTTAGCGTTACAAAGGAAATCCCCGGACGTTCCCACAGCGGCTAGAATAACTGAATGACTGGAGAACTCTTGTCTTTGTGTCAGTGTATTAGCTGCAGGGAGAATAGACTGATAGTTGCAGTTTATTAACTGTGAAAGAGAGGTCAACACCAACCCAGAGGATGAGAAAGAGGGAAGGAGCAAGACACTGATGAATAGAAGACTGGCTGACTGACAGGAACAGAAAAAAAGAAACAGACAGGAGGAGATTGGACTGAAAGAGAAACAAAGAGTGGATCTGAACTTAAACCACACTGAAAAAAATGGTGTAGGATTTTATTATTTTATTTTATTTTGGCAGTTTACAGGAATGATTTACCCTTGAAATGACAATTCTGTTGTCATTTAATCACCCTCATCTAATTCCAAAACTGTATGACTTATGACTTTCTTTTTTTCTATTAAACTTTTTGTATGTTCAAGTATGTTTACACTGCTCCTTTTCATTCATTCATTCATTCATTTACATTTTTGGAGTGCCTGTCCCCAATGCGTACAGAATAAATCTAAATGATGACTACATATTCAGTCACACTTTATTTCAGTTCTCATTATTAACAAACCATTAACTACGACTTTTGCTGCTTATTAATAGTTAGTAAGGCAGTTGTTAAGTTTAGGTATTGAGTATGTAGAATATGGTCATGCAGAATATGTGCTTTATAAGTACTAATAAACAGCCAATATGTTATTAATAGGAATGCTAATATGCAACTAGTTAATAGTGAGAATTGGTCCCTATACTAAGGCCATGTCCACACGTACACGGTTTCAGTGACCTGGTGCTGCGTTTGCGTGTGGACGAACGGCCTAACCGCGTAGAAAAAGCTGCGGTTTTAAAAATAACCGCGTTCGTGTGGACAGGGCCTAAAGTGTTACCAAATATTCTTTTTTTAAATTTTTTTTATCAATTTTACATGATTTCATTTCCAGTCTGTTAAGTTCAGGTCATTAGCAGGTTGAAGCTGGTTTAGATGGTAGATTGTAGACTTTTTGGTGACAGGGGCAAAAAAATTGCGCTTGATCACCCCGCAAAGACTACAGCCAATGGCAAACTAACACATTTACATTCTGCACCTGCGCTAGAGGAAACAACTCTCCATACCAGAAGGTGGCAGTAGTCTGGGAAACTATATAGTCTGGGAGCTATGACTGAAGATATACAGTGGCTACAATTGAAATCATGTACTTTCACTACTATGTGAAAAGAGTAGTATGTCTGAATTCATAGTATTCATAAGACAGTATAGGCAAAACAGTATAGGTGCTAATTCCACCAGCACAATTCTGAAGTGCACATCTAATGGACACTTTACTATCCCATGAAGCCACAGGACAGGATTTGTGAATGGCAATGGGAGTAAAGTGACGCAACTGACATGACAAATGTAGTATGTCCAGATTTCATTCATACTATATAAACACACTTTTTTTAGTAGCTGTGAAGTAATTACTTTTTCCAAAGAATACCTACTCAGAAATTATGTGGTTTTGGATACAGCCAATGAGAAGTGCCTTTTGTGTGCACCCTCTTTGACATTTGCATCTGACTTTTGCGCACACCATTGGCTTGTTGTGTCACAGCCTGTAAACCATCAGCTGGTAAACAATCTACTGCCTACCAGCTCTAATGTTCCCAAGTCCACTTTAATCTGGTATGATCTTGTTTTTCCAGCAGGAAACAAAGTGAAAGAGAGACACAAAGAGGAGAGCAGCTTATTGCTGGCCTGCTGTGACCCAGTTTAAAACTCTTTTATTTGTCTCTTGACTGTCCTGCTCTGTTGTGCAGGAGTGTTATGGCTGGATCCAGACAGAGTGGGCATTGAGCAGCAGATAGTATGCCCTGTGCCCAGCCGGACGGGCCCACACCGGCCCTCTTCTTCAAGAGCCGCTCTCAGCATGCAGCCTCTGAAGCTCCATTATTCCTGTCTGCATCGCCTCGCTCTTTCTCACTGCCTCTATCTAAACCTAGTGTACCCCATCCTTTAGCCATTTATCAAACTACTTCAGGCTACAAACTACTCAGCTAAGCCTGTAGAGAGAGTGTTCAGCTAGACTACAGGCTTCGTTGTAAAAGTACTTTACTTTCCAAAACAAGTCACATTTTTAGCATATAAAACATGCTTCGACTTATTTTCCGAAGCGACTTCTATATTGCAGTTACGTCAATCGCAAAGCATTTGCATTCATGCTGAATGAGAGAGGCTATGTTTATTAGAATTGTGCATTTCTTAATTTCACTTTGTCCTTTAAATAAGGTGTTTATAATGTTATTTATAATAAACGGCACTATAATTTATGTTTGATTTAAACTTACATTTTTCATTCCCATTCTAGTCTGAATACTGTTAAATCTGTTGTGGAGAGAGGGGAAGTAAAACACTGTTTGTCAATATTTTGTTTTATTTACTGGTATTTTACATTTTACAGTATTTCTGAATGTAATACTAAAATGTGACTTATACACTGATGCAAATCATTTTTTCTCTCAACAATGCCATTTTACCCTGTGTGACTTACAGTGCAACTTATTTTCCAGAAAATACAGTAGATTGCTGCAGTGAAGCTACTTTATATTTTATTACAGAGTCAGATATTAAAATCCTTAAACTTGTCGTTTATTCTGAAGTAGTTAATCTCGTAGCAAAAGTAGTACGCATTTTTAAAAATGCAAATTAGTAAATATAGTTGGAATTTGATCGACTGTTTATTAATATAAGATCTCTAACTGAATCAAACCACTTCACAAATCATTTTATTTATGAAAGGAATCAACTCAAAAGAGGGATTCGTTTGGAAACTGGCCATCACTACTAATTCAAACCAGCCCACAGAGAATACCAAACACTTGACTTAAAGGAAAATATAACGCTGTAGCCAAAATAGATTTTTACCGCACCTGCCAATGGTGGGTGAAACGAGCAAATTTACCAGTCATAAATATCTCTTTAGGATGATTCTAAACAGATAAAAGATGATTTTTCTGTTTGCATTTCTCTCTCTCTTTTTTTTTTTTTT